CTGAGAGGACAACTCCGGGTTCTGTGCACAATAAACCCCTCATTCTGGTGCTTTCTGACTTCTCCTTCCAATCTGGGATTGGACTTGATAATTTTAGCGCTCAGAGCACTTATTCTCACTGCTATGCCGCTACACTGTCATTAACTAAATCACATCTTTTTCCGTTCCTTCCAGATACTGTCTGTTTTCCAGATCTACGTGTTTCAGCATCGTTTAAACCACATATTTGCGAAGGCATGTCAAACACTGTGTGTTGGCTGCGTTACTGCCACTTTGCATAATTGCTTTAAAGATATCTCAGGTAGAGGCGCAATGTCAACATATTATGAAGTTTATTTAGTTCCAAAAGATATGCTCATGACAGTCCTTAAGGCCACTCTGTTATGTTTGCTTCTTTACTTCCGAAAACGCCTACTTTTAACCAGATTCGACCGATTTTAACCCAGCGCAGGTTTTGAAAGAGGAACAAAAGACCTCCAGAACTTCCATGTGGGTAAAGTTCTATTGAATTTTAGGATTTATGAATACAAAAAGTCAGAGATTTTAGGAGAAGATGCTATCGCGCTCTGTTATCTTCTAATTACTACGCGAATATTGGTGCTGAAAATTCTGCAAAAAAGAATTTAAATTACGGCAATTTGCTTATTCAAAGTCGGTTTTTTCACAAAGACTAGATTGTTTTCTTCAGTTTTGCTTAAAAAACAACGTCATGTCGGAAAAAATAACAGTACTTGTGGGAAAGCAATAGCAAACTGCCGGTCAAAGCGAACCTCAATTCTTCTTTTCGATACATTTAAGCAACAATCACAGCGACTAGAACGCCAAGAAAATTTTCAACCAAACCCTTATAAGTGCCTATGGGAGTTTTCTAAGTAAATACGCTGTAACAAAGAATTTCAGATGCAGGATTCACTGCCTTTGCCTGGGCGATAGTAACTGGCACGTCAAGAACTGCACCCAAATCTAACTTCCACTAGATGTGAAGCCCCGTAGTCCTGACCTCAATTTCATCCATAAACTTTCCAAAGGACATCGCTATGAATACTGGATCCAGAAGTTCCCAATGCTTCACTGTCTAATAAACAAAGCCTACAACTGTTGCAAGTGCTTCCTGACAACATGTTAATTATGACTTTTTGAAAAGGCGTTAGTGCCTCATGGCTAGTAAGCCTGAGACAATGAGCATGCCACGGAATCTTTAATATCTGAGCTGTCGTTTTCACTGGCATAATGACCAAGATGTGATTCAATATAGGGTGTCGGGGTGGATTGAAAATCGCTGGGTGTAGTGCATCTTTTTGGAAATTTATAGCGGTAAAACAGGTAAATCATTTAAAATACAATGGTGTTCTACGCGTAGCTTCCATCTTAAGGCGCAGCTGATGCGCGCACAATCAGACCTGATACATTTTTCGACAGGTTCAACAGGGGGTGAAATGCACAGTTGTCTCCTACTCTTTCATATCTAACAGTCTTACATATTGAGGCAAATAAGTCCGCCATTTCGGTTTCCACGTACATAATCCGAAGATGCGTTTCTGGACGGAGAGGGGGCAGTTCGCCGAGCAGTATGCATTGTCCCCGAACATTTTCAACAGCGAAATCGGATACTGATCTCGTGAAGCTGCAATATTCTCCGCACAGCCTACATCTTGAAGCGCATGTGATGCGTGTCCTATCCAACCTAATGCATAATTCGGGGATTCAACAGGGACGGAAATACACAACTATGTCAAATCTCTCACGCCTGACTTACTTTGTGGATAGCATGCTGCCCAACAATGTCGACTTTATACTTATTACCGTGCCCCACCTGCAAAGCACCCCAGTGTAAGGCTTTTCAACGTTATTGTAGTAGTTATTGACACTGTCATCAGAGGGTGAAGATGTATTTGTCCGCGTAGATAGCGTTCGTCGACCACTACAACAGCCCTATGACGACCCATTTTTAGTATTATCTCGCAAGGACAAGCATCTTATAAATGACCGTTGAGGCCGAACCGACGTAGTCTCAGTCGATCTCTTGAAGGCGGCTTATACCGACCTTCTTTCAAATTCTCCAACTGAATAACCTCCACTCGGAGCATTGCCACTTGCTTTTTCCCGGACTTCACTTGCGCCCAATAACCCTGCGTCTTCCCTTATCCCACCGACTCCTCCCCTTACGCGCAGTGGTCGTCATGTCCGTCTTTCCCGACCGTTACCAACTGGTACAATATGCATAATACCCCCGCCTTTTCCTTCTATTAATAATAATTTTTTTGAACTCCCTTCTTCTAGGAGGGGGAGTATTGTAGCGACATTTAAGTTTATTTTGTTTTAGTCAGTTTCAATACGCTTTTTAAAGAACTTGGCACAACTCTGAATGAGACGAAGAACAAGCACGTGCATTTTTACCTGCTGACGACTTTCTTTTCAATTAGTAGTTTGTAGCTGTTGGTATAGTGCTATCTTCGTTTCCCGGACAGCCTACTCACTGTTCCCAGCTAAAGGGTTTATCACTTACAAGGAGATGTGTCTAAACGCAGAACAAGACCTAACTAAGCCGAGTTCCGAGCTTGACGTGAATGCACAGACCAACTATCAACATAGTAGAGCACTCTTGCACTTCACCGTGTCTGCCAACAAACGCCGTCGTTTGCTTTATTGGCCTTGTTGAGTCGATCGATTTTGTTCACACGTGCCTTCTAGCAGATTATAGAGCTGAACTGTGCGCCAAAAAAATCGTCACTGTGATTGAGACCTGCTATCGGTGCGAAACTGCCCAAGTGTTTATCAACAGCAACATTTCCTAGTGCTTATATGCCTTGTCTATGGCTCGGTCAAGTGACATTCTACCACTCATCCTTTTTAACTACGTTCTTTTTGGCTTTCAGGTGGCAGCTTATTAGCTTCAACTACATTGACGTAATCTATCTGTAACTGTCGAGCTCTGATGCACTAAACAGTACAGTGTGTTCGCTAAGTCCGTTGGCTCAGCTCTCGACGGTGGGAAGACCCCAAGTGACCAGGTGAAGGTCATTCTCAGGAATTATAGCTGACAGCTTGACGAATTTGACAGTTTAAAGTACACCGGAGATGAAATGGTTATCAAATGGACAAATCGAAATGTTGTCCTTGGTCTGGCACCGATGCCTCTCTGAAGGTGTCGAAGTAGAGGCCAACTTTAAGCCTGACTCAACATGCATGTAGCACTTTGGCTCTCAGTATTCGGGTCCCATGTCGAAAAAGTTGACAGACTGCGTTCAGTAGTCAATGAGGCAGAGCTTCGGCGACATCATCAAGGGAGACTGGGCATTACTGTTGTCATGCGCAGTACAATTAAGCAAAAATTTACAAATTCGATTGCTCTGGTATTACATGGAATCGCGAGCAATCAAGGAGGCACACAGACGTAAACGTAGACGGTCAAGTGGGATTAAAGTGCAAACCTCACTTTTCGATGGATGTGTTTTACTGAGGACAGTAAACCTTTCAAAATCACAAGAAATTTCCTGCTCCCAAGACGCGTACGCAAGGTCGGTGCGATGCAAAAATTTGGCTCAGGAAAAGATGCTTTTCAGCAAAGTGGAACCCTAATTCCATGCTTAACGCTGCTTTCATCTATCACGATTATAAGTGCTACTCGTTTTTGTTGAAAGCTCAAGGATGTGAAGGTATTACATTCTAAATCACGTTTACTACATCAAAAATTCGACCACAACTGCAGTAAGCATTCAGCTTATGAGTTAGGGTGCCTTAATTATACAGTGATATAACAAGCGCAGCAAGACTCTGACTGGTATAATGTACAAAAATGCATTTCGGCCTCCAGCATGGTTTGAGTACAATCGACCGGGTTACTCGGTCATCGAGCTCACGGTAACTAGACATAACAGCTTCCGCCAATAATTAGACAAACAAATGAAGTCTACTGAAACACATGCCAGTTCCTGGGGCTGCCTGCGTCTTCTAATACCTGGGTGAAAACCTCCATACACCAACCTGGCGGCTTTCCCAAACAATCAAAACACCGATTTTCAAAAAAAATCTTGCTAGCAGAGGAGTAACATAGGAATCACTGCCGTTGAGGCCAATGCAGTATTGTTTTCGTTTTTGTGGTTTTTGCGAAAAAATTGCTTTTTTATGCGCACCAACTTCAAGGTCCCGCGTCTGAAAAATTTCCGCCTGGAATTTACAGGATTTGGAAATTTTCGACTATTATCCCGATAAAAATAATCCTCATGCATAGAGAAAGTCGTGCGAAAATAATGCGCTGCGTTTCATATGCTATCTCTTTTTAGAGGTACAGTAGGTGTGGGCTAACTCATGAATTGTCAACCGAAATTTCGAAATTCGTTTTCGTTTCGAAAACAATACTTAAGCAGGTCGTGCAGCATAATTCTATAATACTTCAGTTGACTCAGAACGCCGGCTTTCGAACCAACTTTTTTCGGCTGCACGTGAACCCTATACTCTGTAAAAAATGACTACTTAAGAACCATGATTTTTTCCCATTGATGTTCGACGCCCTTAAAAATTCGATTATATTTCATGGAAAACATGCCTAAACATATTTATTCTATTGCTTATTCAGTAGAGATTTACGTCTTCTTACAATTTTATACTCGAAGGAAGGGTATAATTCGGCTTTAAAAAGTAGTTGATTGCGAGATTTTTCAATATCGTGAAATGGCCGTCAATAAAGCATAATGCCTTTCATTTGCCTATGCGACTTGAAAAGTTAAAATTATGGCTCAAATCCACTACTAAATTTTATATATTTAATGCTGTAGAGAAATGTATGGTTTTTCGTGCGCGGAAAATAAACGGCTTGTAGTTTAGAATCTCTGAGTGCAAGTTCAACGGCAGGTCGGGGTTCAAAATTACTAAAGAGTTGGAACATATTTTTGAAAATCGAAGTATACCCTTTTTCGAGTATAAGATTGGAAGAAGACACAATTTTCTACCGAATGAACAACATAATAGATATCTTAATGCAGGTTTTCAATTAAAAATAAAACCGGATTTTTAAGGACAGCGAAACTCAATGAGAAAAATACATGCTCCTTAGAGTGTATTTTCTGTGTGCAACAGAACGGAATTTCATTCAAAGGACGACATCCGAAGGTAACTTAAATAGTGTACAATTACTCAGCGCGATAATTAGTTTTACAGCCCTACATAATTAATCCTTTTGAAAAGAAAAGGAATTTAGGAATTTCAGTTGATGTTTTATGACTTAGCACACCTACTGTATTATCCGCCTATACGCAGGGCCTCAATGAACTGTTTGTTTTAGCAAACCGTATAAAATGCAGTCATGTAAACAGAAGATATTTTCGAGTTCGCGCCGACGAAATTAAGGGCTTCAAAATGCGATCGTCCGAAATAAAATAACTTCAGATTTCTTCGAATTAGGCGAACGGTAGTCCCAGTTTCTTGTGATGCCTGAAACGTTGGCGTACTGTATAGCGATTCGCGTAGTCAGTAGTTAAAGATGTACAGAAGAAATAAAACGATTAATTTATTTAGGGTGGTTGATTGGTACACTTGTTCCAGATGTTCGAGTGATGTAGTGAGAAATTAAACAATGGTAGGGGGCGCTCACCGACCGTTCTTACGGAACTCACTCGTTCCGTTGTGCCTTATGGACTCTCTCTCGAACCCAACCAGCAGCCGCACAGTGGCGCATGATATAGGCAAAATGATATTACCGACAAAGACAAGGAAGACTGGAATGGCCATTTCTGGCTTATTAGCCGTCATCAGCCAGTCATCTGTCGGTAATATCATTCTGCCTAGAAATTAAACAGTTAAAATGGTTGACAGACCGATTCATGCCTCGGATCTGAAAACTCCCAATGCACGGAAATTATCTGTCCCATCCATCTCTTCGGGCAACGGACTAATACAAGGAACTCGAAAATTCGTGAGTACGGCTATATCAGTTCGGAAGTGAAGTCTTGTTATACCAATTCAGGTAAATAAGTCCACAGTTGTCATTTTCGCAGACATAATCACGAAGATGCGATTTCCGCGGAGCATATCAAAAGAAGGGAAGAGAAGCGCATTTTAAACAGTGAGAATGATTACTCATCTTGTGAGACTTGGATATTTGTAGCACTCGTGATGCCCGTGATGAGCGCTCTGTCAGGCTGACGGCTACCTTGAAGTGATCAAAGATGGAGCTTCCAGCGCTTGCCTTGCCCTATAGTCTCCATGGCGACGCACAACCACGACCTCGTCAAGTGTGAATATACGCACATGCTGAGTTGCATGGGTACACAGGCAGTTGGTGCTCGTTCATCCGTGTCTCCTGCTACCAACAGGCATTCCCGACATAGGGACTCTCTCTCTCAGTGGCCAGTTGCACAACCGTTGGTAGACGGCGACCGATTTCTTTCGTTTAGACTACTTGACCGCAGACTCTGTCAGCTGAGTGTCGCTTCAAGCCTATGAGCATAGCCTAACACGCCCTGCGCTGTGGATATTACAACGGCCGTGCAATAATCCTTCACGCATCATCCATACAGTCGGATGGATGAAATGGGTGAACGTGTACAATGAGCCGTCTTCCAGTTCGTCTACACCCGAACAGCAAGTTATCAAGTTTGAAATTGATGTCTCTGGTATTGTCCTGTGCATGTCTTGCATGTGTCTAGCTGCAAGGCCGAAGCTGACAAACCGCAACCTAGCCTTGAAGCTCCACGTTGACTAAGACCGCGCTCTTGTTCTTTCTCACTCTGAAATTCTGAAAAATTAGTGTCGGCAAAATAACCAGTAACAATAATCAGTGTTAGTTAACTAACCAAGACGAGAGAGAACGATGAGGAGTCAAGAGAATCAGTGGAAGTACGTGGTCCTGTATCAGGAAAGGGGTGGCTGAAATTGGCGCTTCCTACATATGCAAAGCATAAATAACGAACAAGCCTAATAATTACTGTCTTTCCACATATTATTCGACGTATCCAATTGCGTCCCTGCAAAAGCCCATGTTTTGCAATTCAAAAGCTAGTCAGGACTTGCGAGGCCTCATAAAAGAATTCAACATTCTACCCTCTGCACGACGTAGGCGCTTTATCCTACACCTGTTAATCAAACGTCTACGTCACCGTCTTTTATCGACTTCGACTCGAATATTCATTGAAATTTCAGGTCTAACCCTAAAAAGTCATGTCCCAGAGACTTGAATCCATGTTCTGCACTGAGGTATTTCAGAAATTATTCGTTTGATGATTCTCTGAGATTCACATACCAGAAATCACATAGAGAACGCTGGGGAACCCACTGAGGAGGCGAACCCCTCACAGTTGCGTCAAGCAGCGACAGAATATCGGCGAAACACGTGTCTAAACTTTTAGTTTGTACCTATGTCGCGAGTACGGTATAGTATCTTTAGCATATACATTTCATACTACTCGTAATAATATTCGTTTTTGGAATGGATATTACGTGGTTATTCCACAGTAGTCGATTGTCTTCGACTCAAATGTTCATTGAAATTTTGGGTCTGACCCTAAAAGGTCATGTCCCCGAGACTTGACTTCATGTCCTGCACTGAGTAATTTCTGAAATTATTTGCCGAATTATATAGATGGATGAAACCCAGTTGTGAACACCAATATTCTCTTTGAGCACCTCACTGAATGCACTGAGCGTTCTGATCCCAAATATTCGGTGCAAAGCACACAGAAACGATTTCTAATCGTATGCAGATTGTGAGTGCAATTGATCAGGTTGGTTCATCAGGAAGGTCGCGCTTGGCTAATCATTAGATAGAGTGGAGTTACATATGTAAATGGCCGGAATTTGTGCTAATTTCAGAGGCCGACTGTAGCTGCTGATAACTTCGTGATAGCACATACCAAACAATACAATT